CACCACATAAGCAAAAAGAAAAAAGCCGGAAGTGGCGCTGTGGCTCAAGTGGTAGAGCGCTAGCCTTGAGCTGAAGAGCTGAGGGACAGCGCCTAGGCCCAGAGTTCAGGCCCCACGACCGGACCCCCAAAAAAAAAAACAAAACTGCAAGTGGCGCCATGGCTTAAAGTGGTAGAGCAATACCTTTAGTAAAAGTCCCACCGGGAACTACCACCACCAGCATCACCACCAATAACAGAGCCAGCGCAGGCTCTCCATGACCTCGCTCTGACTGGCCACCCCACCTCCTCCCAGTTAGTGCCACAGGCATAGGCCTGTGAGGAATTGTCAGGGTCCAAACTACAGAATTTCTCAAGTCTTGAGTTTTACAATGGAGATCTTACCATGCCATTCCCATTCCATTTCAGGGGCTTTTTAGTACGTACTCTATGGGCTGTAGTTTTAACGTCATCGTCATATGACTTGTTACACCTAACATCTTCCATTTACGTCTAACTTCTTCCATATCCCTTACGTTCCATTTACTTTCCTGGCTTGCAGCTTTTGTGACTGGAGAAATGTCCTCTCTTTTACATAGTCTTTTTTTTTGTACATTTTTTTATTGTGAAAATACTGTACAGAGGAGTTACAGTTACATGAGCAAGATAATTTCCTATGGAGCGTTGTTGCTTCCTCCTTTGTTTTTCCCCTACCATCCCTTCCCTCCCACCTCTACAACTTACCCGCCCCCCCAAAGTTGTAAAGTTCATTTTTTTCCCCTACCATCTCTTCCCTCCCACCTCTACAACTTACCCGCCCCCCCCAAAGTTGTAAAGTTCATTTTCCACATAGTATCTTGTGCATCTCATTGTTACAACCTGTATCCCTATTTAAGCATTTTGGTTTTTTCCCTTTCCCTCCCCAAATTAGAGAAGTGTATATATAAGATGCAGGGCACTGACATCAAATACAGTGAAAACGGGTTATACCATGAGGGAGGAACTTACAAAGAAACCAAAAAATCATATGGTACATTATAAATACTTTAGAAACAATAGCAAGAAAGAAAAAAATTGTGTCCCTATCTTGGGGTTCATTTTGCTTAACCTCATCTTATATGATCATATATACCTTTTGACCTTTTCTGCTTGTCCTACAGATGTATTAGTTATTGCAAATAAGGGAAACCATGGGACCTATGTTTCTTTGGGCTGGCTTACTTCACTTTATATAATTTTTTCCAAGTCTTTCCATTTCCTAACAA